ATGCTGCACTATGTATGCAAGCGGAGGGGTTTTTTTTCTGACTGAACATGCGACTGAAGAAAAAGCTGCAGCGCAATATCACACAAAGTTCTCCAAAGCAGCCCATGCCAGGGATCTCATGCTTGGTTAACTGGGCCGTTCCTAAAGGCCCATCAAGCATTCGTGTCTCTTGTTCGTGATGACAGCATACTGCACTAAACTTGGAAGTTCAAGAACCACGCGAATGCTCTGGTGTTCGCCCCGCTCAGGCACAGAAATCCGCCCTTACCGCAGGGATTTTCCCAATTTGTAGCTTCCCCTTTTTGGATGACCCTGGCTACCCGTTCTTGTAGATATTGTTTGTTATAGCGAAGTGGTGGCACCGCCATGCCTGGTGACTGCGAATGAGGTTTATTAATACAAGGTTAGTGAAGGCTTGCGTCGCTACATGTGTACGTGCGGCGAAAGATCACGGCTCGTTGCTGCCGCGAAGATATGTGAAGGGTTGGAGTCTAATTGAGTTCGTCTAGTACACATCACTACAGTCACTACAGGTATCTACAAGTCAACATGATGCAACACATGTTGGCAGATACCCTGATATGACTTCATAGTGCGCCTCGCGAGTACGTTAGACGTTGAGAAAGCACTTGCTCCATGATTGTTGCATGTTGGAAACCGTAACCTTGACACATCGACCAACTCAGCAAGTGGCTCCTCCTCCAGACTTTCTTGCGGATGTGGCGCCGAAGCCCTCGGAATGCGAGGGAAGGGTTCGGCAGCAAAACAGACATAACATATAAATATGTACTATGGAGACCTGCTGAACTGGACATGTCTGGATCAGGGATGATCAGGCGATTCGGACTGGATAGTGTTCTGACTACCTGCAGCCGCAGATCCAGGAACTTTGAGCAGCCCCGTGCCTCTGCAAACGCAGTGCTTTGGTGCGTAGGATCGCTCCAAAGCAATCTGAAGGGCAAGGTAATGTAGGGGCCTTAATAAATAGAATAGGGTTTTGGGGGTTCCTTATTATAATTGTAGTATAACATACCCCAAACCCTATTCTAATTATGAAGGCCCCTATATTACATCCGCCCTCGCCTTGCACCTTGAACGCTTAAGCCCAAAAGCCCTAAAAACCAGCCAACTCATCATCCAAGAACTCTTTGGGCCCAAGCCGGCACCGCGATCTGTGGAGTTTCAGATCGCCCTCCCACATGGCTTGAGGCAAAAGGTGCACAAAACATGGTCCAGTGGACACAAAACGGGCCATTCAACAACACTGAAATGCGAAAGCGACGAGGACGGGAATACTCATGCGGAATCCACAGGCATTGGTCCATGACTGTAAGACCACATTGGAAAGCTCAGACACTGCTCCACCCCGGCTTGAATCTCTTCGTAGACCTTCGCCCTATCCAAATTGAGTCGAAATTGTTGCTGAATGTTCCTAGCCATCATTCAGCCCTCAGTGACCACAACATGCTATCCGAGTTGTTGCAAGTACGGGCTCGCTTGAGGGCATCAGTTTCGATAGCAGTACATATACCAAAGTGTGTAGACTCATGTGGCAACCCTCGTGTTACGGCCCCATTTTCGGGTTGCGGCTACGGGTTTTCCTAACCTATTCAGCCGTCATCTTCGCTCTGAACACCCTGTCGCAAACCATAAGAGCAGCGCGAAATGTTCTCAGACTGGTCTCACAGAGGCACAGTATTTGCTGTGACGAGTTTGTATCTTCTGACATTCGTCTTTGCAACTCTGTTATCCCCGTTGATATTCAGAGCGGTTCAAGCACATGTATGGGCAACTACGTAAACATTGCTCTTACCCTCGTCGCATGATGGTCACGATGCTAGTATAGCGGCCTCGGCAGTGTTCTACTATTCCTTGCCGGCGGCTTATCAGTCTCCGCAAATCGAGCAATTACTGTTGAGCTAACTCCTGCAGGCTCGTGGACTTTTTAAAGCGGAAGCAACAGAACCCGGCGCCGAACAGCTTTGGGCAGCTGGCGAAGAGCTCCATTAATCGGTAGTGCAGACTCTTGCGAACCACCAAACATCTGGTTACTCCACGGTCACGGTTGAAACTGCTCATTGCACAATCCCTAAACGCTAAACCCTGAACACCTAAACCCTGAACACACTACGTTAGCGCACATTCTCCAGGCTAGCGCCCCATCCGCAGGGAGAATAACGGCAAAGATTCCGTGCTGGTTAATTGCTCCATTAGTTCTCGTTTGTCTTTGAAACAGTGCATAAATATGCCATGCATAGCTGCTAGTTGTGCTGATGTGGGAGCAGGCATACCGAAGCGTCAGCAATATTGCTATTTAACAGAATTGGTACACCCTCTGCAACTATGCTATACGCGATGTTGGCGGCCTAGGGTCCCCTCATGCTGTCCAAACGGTGCTGCATATCCTTGTGACGGTAAGAGCTCTTATCACCTTTCACATACCGCTACATTCGCAACTTAAAGAAGCTAAAGTCCCGTCGCCATGTCTGCACAGCGCCCTTAAAAAATGAGCAATGCAGTGCATCTGCGACGTTTCTGCAGAGCTTCGCTATGCTTCGCGACTGGGTGACTGTTTGCCCTGAAAGGCCTCCGGGGAGGATGCCGCAAAGGGGACCGCCAAGCAGGAAGAGATGGGGCATCACAGCAGGCCCTTTCTCATCCATGTCAGCCCGCCCTGCGGCATCTCTTCTGCCACGGGCTCTTAGTTGTCAGGCACTTCTCTCGCGCAGTCTGTACAACTTGAAAAGCACACCAAGTCAGCGTGGCATGGCATCTCTGGGATCAGCCCAGAGGCCATGACAAGCACAATAACACCAAGCAGCCGCATCTCCCGAACACTGGAATCGACCATGGTGACTAAAGTGGTCAAGCCAGAGATCCCGTTCGTTCTGATAGTGATGATCATCAAACTCCTATCATGTCAAAACCTTATGGACCACGAAAAGATAAACGAAGAGCCGATCTTCTATCCACTGCCCTTCGTCACCAGAGAAGCGGCCGCCGTCTTCGCATCAAGAAACACCGGCAGTTGGCTGATTCGGTTTCGCGAAGGCAAACAAAACAACAAGAAGCACTAGTAGCAGAAGGAGGGGAGTATTAATCACTAATCAGCATCAGTGCCAGTATCACAAATCACCATTACCATCATGCAACTGCGTGCAATTTTACATGTAAGAATGTATGTATGCAGGAAGGAGTGCATGAATGAATGAAAGAATGAATGAATAAAAGAATATATGAATGAATGAAAGAATGAAATAATGATGATTGAATGAATGAGTGAATGAATGAATGAATGAATGAGTGAACGAGTCAATCGCTGAATCAGTGAATGCGTGAAGAGCGAACGAACGAATGAATGAACCAATGCATGGATGTATGCATGTACGGATGGATGGATGGACGGTGGACGGATTGATGTAGGTATGTATGCGGAATATATTGGTGTACGTACGGATGTATGGGTGGGTGTATGAATGTATGGGTGTATGGATGCCTGTATGCATGGATGGACGGACGGACGGATGGATGACGTGATTACGTATGTGTGTGCCATAGCCATAATACGCTTTGCACGACACAGCCCACGCACATGTATGACATCCCCCAGCACATAGTATAATATTCACCGTCGCCCATCTACTAGCACAGGCGAATCAAGCAGGAAAGGCAACCAAGCATCCGCCTCCTGCTAGAAACTCACACATCCCTTTACATCAAGGCATAAGGAAGACACAGGCCTGAAGACTCGCGTAACGATGGGTAACGATGTAAGGCAGCGTGTTACACTGGAAGGATGGACCGCAAGGCTGAAATACCCTAAATCGTACTGGTTCATCGTAACCTGTAGAATCATACTTGGAATGATGAGACACTGGTAGCTATTCCTTTCAGCTTACAGACATGCAGCAGCATGAAGGACCAGGAGCATTCTGCAAAACGAACACTGCCTCCTAATCAAATAATCATGCTTCAGCCAACTACCACCATGGAACATAATCACATCCTACTTTCTCAAGACATGGGGGGTTGATCGCCAAGTTGGCTCCAAATGAGCCATATGTCTGCCATACGAGTATTTATGCTGCTGAAGCTGCCGATCCGTCCGGCGGCAACCAAAGCATCTACGGAATATACCTGAACATGAGAGGGTCTCTTATGATGGTTTAACGAATATTCCCTAGGTCAGGGGTCTAGACTGCCTGGGTTGATGGCCCCATCGCCTGAAAGAACCGGCTCCCTGTTCAAACCCTACTAGGCCCTGCTAAACATGATTGTTCTGCGTCGTCGACCACCCTGTGCGACTACACAAGCGATGGACTCATTCATGTGAGATGTGCCATGCCCTACGGCTGCTATCCAGAAACACAGGTTTGCTTTTGGGGTCGCTGCTGAGGCTGAAGGATGCATGTCTTGGCCAAACAATACCATGTTAAAGATTACCTGGTCACAGTGATCAGCCCCGTTCCGCTGAACTGTTGGCAAACTTGGCAGGTCTAACACAGGATTGCATGAACCAACGACCAGCCTAACCGACTTCCAAAGTGCAGCAATACCGTGGAGATCCGCGGATCTAAATCTGAAAGGACGCCTGTGCCTGTCGTAATGACTACCTCTAATAAATAAGGTAGCCTGTACTTATACCAAGCGAGGTTGACCCATGAACGCTACGCCTCGAGGCATCTGCGTCATGGGCTTCGCTTCCTGGGCCTGCCAAGGCTGCCCTTTTCAAATGACGCAAAGACCATTGCGTAGGAAACGGGCATGCAAAGGAAAACACAACGCGCCATCTCGGGCGTCATGGATAAAGCCTCCAAAGGAAAGCAATTCCAATGGCGTGGCTGGCACGCAGCGGAAGGGATGGATGAAGTGCTCCGCACATGTCCCAGCACTGCGGTGGCTCCATGTTGCATACTAGGCTCTTGGGTCGCCCAACAACCCTGTCTTCATCCTCCTTCACACACAGTGGACACCCGGCCCACGCCAGGGTTTCACTGCTCTCAGAGGTCCGAGAAGCGCTTGCCACCCGCTCTTCCTCTCGCTGCTGCGACTGTAGCGGCTCATCTGCAGTTTCTGATTCAGGCTGGCAGTTGCTGAAACCAGAGGCAGGCATGTTGCTGCATCAGTGCAGGCTTCACACTGGCAGACTGTCAGTCCTAAAAATCCCCATGTGCTTTTGAAAGCTCCCAGCAGTCGTGGGGTCTCGCCACCTCGGCCACATCTCTCGGGATGCAGGGCTCGGGGTTTGGGGCCTCACTTCTCCTCACGTTGTCTCAGCCCGGAGCTCTTCGTGAAGGTCAAATCCTGCGAAGAATTTGCCTGCGGCTTTCGAGCTTCGTCGAGGTGTCATCTCTAAAGCACGGCAAGGCGGAAAGCCTATCCATGTCATACATGGCCATACATGGCAGAGTCGATTTCGCCTTAACGTGTCTTGAAGACCTACAAGCAACTGCAACGGCAGGTGCCTAACTTGCACCTTTCGAGCTTCGTGCAGAACAGCCCTGAACAGCCGCATATTGCGCGCCTACAAAAGGACCATGCCAGCCCTCTCTTACCGTCCGTCCTCTCCTCACATTCCCCAAAGTGTCACCTCCCGAAAGAAAACGAGAAAAAAGCTATCAGCGCCTCTGCCCTCGACAGCAGGAAGCCAAAGGCCTGCCACGATATCACACCGAGAAAAAATGACAAAAAAAACGTCACAAAAATCCAGCACCTCTGTTCTGCCGTGGGTGTGGGGACTGAAAAGATGGAAAAGGGGAGCCAGGCATGAAGAGAAGATTTACAGGACTCAGGATTCTACTGGTCGCAGGATTTCCGGGGCACCTTTCTTGTATTTCCAAACGCTGTACTGGCACACTTTCATTCTTGGCACTCAGCGGCCAACGCATCCCTTGCAAACTCAGCCTAGAGCGAGCATGCATGCATCATTGATCGCTCCTCAGTCGCATGCTGCATGAGGGCGTTATCCAAAAGCACGTCCTTGGTGCTACTTTAGGCAGGCTCTAATACTTCCGCAATCGCTTCCCCGACCCATTTTACTGACTAGTGAGAGGCGTGTCAGTTGACACGCGCACCTTCCACTAGGCAGTTTTTCAAAAATCACATGACACGATGCCATGGCAGCATGTCTTCCTCGTGCCTCTCTTGTTTCGTTGCTTCCGCCCTCTCGCCTTTACTTATGTCTTTTCCTCCCAGCATAGGGTAGTGAAAACAAGGAAAGCCGAAACTGGCTCCTATAGATCCCATAGGGCAGGGTCTCAACATGTCGGACTGGCCACACCCTCAAGGGCTATGCGACGTAGCAGCGCAATGCTGATTGGCACAGACTCGACCTGTCTGTCAGGAGTTTCCGTCTTCACCATTACACAGCGTCGCCAGACTGCTAGCTATTTATGTTCTGCCTCTTATGCATGAGAATCGGATGGGTGTAGCCTCAGATTTGCAGAAACTAGCTTGGCTGAAGCCGTCCCGACGCACTCGATTCAAGGAAGTGGCGGTGGAACGTGGCGGAAAAAGCATCGTGCAGGCCGACAGGACCAGTCTTCTGCAAAAATGAGCCTCCTAGACCCCGCTGTATACCCCGCTGCAGCACATGGAAGCAAAGTTCGCGCACCTCGCCATTGGCAATGGCCTGCCTGAGCACTTCTCTCAAAACGCCGTGTCGGAAACTCCAAGGGGGCTCGCTGCAGTCGCAGTCATGAAGCACCATCGCACCTCCCACAGAAGCCCGAGCCTCAGTCTCGTGAGCTCCTCGTCTGAATCGAGTGCAGGGCCCACTGCATCAATAAGCCTCGTCTCGAACTGCCGGACTGCCGGAAGGAGTAATTGGCACCAAAACGTCCACACTGATTCGTTGAGGCGTATCGCAACAAGAGAAGGCCTCCTTTCCCCGAGGTTCGCACCCTTGCCAGAGCTCGTCCGGTGAGTCACCGCAGAGTCCGGTCACCTGTCCAGCCGGCTCGACAGCCCCTCGCAATACCAGGAAACAGCTGGTGCTACAAGTCCCCAATCACAATCTCAGATGCTGGGAGACGGTACGAAGACAACATGATCTCACAACACGGACGAGTATGTATCCTGTAAATATGCCCGTGCCCACGACACTCGAAGCCTATGAAGCCTAAACCCTGCATCCCAAAACCCGAGGGCCTGCTGCTTCACGGCCTGCTGGGCTTCCAGCGACATGCCGGCAGACAGGAGCAGGGCCTGGAAAGTTGAAACCCTTGGCCGGGACTTGCGGAGCCTTTGAACAGACGGACCTCACGCAAGAACCCTCTAGCAACCCCTAAACCCTAAACCCATATATAGCCTATATTAGGCATAGCGGCATGTATATATGTATATTGTACATATTGATATATATATATATATATTCTCTCTCTCTCTGTCTAGTGTATACCGAGTATCCGCACATGCATGTAACATAGGGTTGCAATCGCCTCCTGTGAGTCCAGGCTGGACACGTAGTCGCTCAAGGATGGCGCCTGTCGCAGCAGAGGCTTGGGGACGATTTAGGTCTTACTTGGAGGTCATGGGTAGCTATAAGTGGAGCTATAAGTCCCTAAAATAGGTTACAACATATAACCCTACTTCTAACTACCCATGAACCTCCAAGTAGGGTTGAAATTCTCTTTCAAGCCACAAGTATCGAAGCACTGTGCTCGAAAACAGCCGAAACATCGGGTTCAAAGCTTTTCACGCCGCCTTTTCAAAGCCCAGATGTCCATTCCCGCCATTTCAGCAGAAAGACGATCCAGCGTCTGGAGTGGCTTGAGTTTCGCGTCACGATTGGAGCTTCTTCTCGCTGCCTGCTCTTGCCCATTTCATGTTTCCTGCTTTCATAGCTTACGTTTTCTTGCATCCTCTTACTTGTTATTTTTCCTGACGGCTGCTTCTTGCTGCTGAAGTCTCTAATCGTCGTTGCTGGTATTTACTTCTTCCAGGACTGCAAGCCATTGTTCGCACCATTAGCTCTCTGATTACTGCCAGCACGGCCAGCACCATCACGAGCGCTTCAAAGCTCGTGGGAGGCCATTATCGCAGGTTAGAGCGCGATGTGGCTGCGCGGAACCAGCGGGCCCTTCAGACGGCTCTGGCTCTGGCAATGCACTTTAACTTACAGTCCGAGGTTCGTGATGGGCCGCATCCTAAGCTGGTCGTCTCCCTGTATATGCAAAGGTGCCAGGCTGGTCATGTCCCAATAAATGCAAACGTCACCAAGACAATGGAGCAACAGGGGGAAAGCTTAGCTAGGGAGCACAGTCGTCGATGGCACCGCGGTTCGGGACTACAAAACAGTTGAAGTGTTAGTTTAAGTTTAAAAGGGCGCTGCGCACTGGTCTCGCCCTGTTTCATGGGCAGTTGCCCGAAGAGCGGGCTCAATCCGTGACGCACGGAAAAACCTGGAGAAAAAAAACAAAACACGCAAAGCAGTGCAGGAGGCGCTAATTATGGGCCTCGTGGCCTGGGCCTTGTGGCCTATAGTGGCCGCGGCCTAGTCAGCCGCCCGGGAGTGGTGGCCACCTCCCCAGGTCACCAGGGTGTCATCGGCCAAGAGGGCGGCGAATCCACAGCGAGAGCCCTGGACTTGGCGAACATCTCGGAGCTGATTCTGCACGCTGCGGCTGTCTCCGCCGTACCTCAAACTTCGTTTTGAAGGGGTTTGGGGCTCTTAGGGCTTATAGGGCTTACGGCTGCTACGACTGCTACGACTCTGCGTGCTGGCAAGGCTCTCTGGTTGGCCCCAGGTCACCACCTCTCCGTCCATGCGGATGGCAGCAAAAGCTGAGTCAGTGGCATCGATCTGGCATATTCCCTCGAGATCTTCTTGGACTGCGTTGCTATTGCCACCTAACTCCGGGTGTCCCCAGGTAACTACACGACCATCCGCCAGAACCGCTGCGAAGGCTGCAGCTGCGGCGCAGATCTGGTGAACGTCCTGAAGCTTCTCGCCGACCCGTGAACTATCGCCTCCCCAATCGGCATCTCCCCAGGTCACCACCCTGCCATTGGCCAAGAGAGCCGCAAAAGCTCGGTGCGAAGCCGTCAGGTACCGCACCTCCTTCAGCTGCTCCTGTTGGTGCCGCACTGGCTGCAGCTATGCAGGGCTCTCTAATGACTCTGCCAGGGAAGTCTCAACATCGTTATAGTCCCTAGCAAATTAAAATTTCGAAGTGAATATGAGTCTCTTCAGACAATCTGTCACCCTTTCTACTTACGCACTCCGTGCTGCTCTTGTCCTGGACCTCACTGCTGTCACCGCCGTGGCTCGCCCTTCCCCAAGAGATAACCGTCCCATCTGCCCGCAAAGCAGCGAAAGCATGTTCCGTAGCGCACAGCAGCCGGACCTCTCTGAGCTGGCCCTCCACCTCCCTCGAGTCGGTGTCCGAATCCCCCCAGGTCACGACGCTCCCATCCGCCCGGATGGCTGCGAACGCGCGTCGCGCCGATGAGATTTGCCGCACATCATAAAGCTCCTCTTGCACGGAGCTGCTGTCTCCCCCAAAGCCCACGTCACCCCAAGTCACAACCCTCCCATCTTCTCTCAGGGCAGCGAAAGCCCGATGGGAAGCTTGCAGCTCACGCACTTTCAAAAGCTGCCGCTGCACCGCTGACCCGCAGTGCCCACCGCAGAAGAAGGCCCCCCAGGTCACAACGCTTCCATCGGAGACAATGGCAGCAAAAGCACCAGAGGATGCGCAGATTCTGCGCACATTTCGCAATTTCTCTGCAGCACTGTCGCTGTTACCCCCGGATTCTGCATCGCCCCACGTCTGAACGGAGCCATCCGAGCGTATGAGGGCAAAGGCCGGGTTCTTGCTGCTCGAAGCCAACATAGAGCACCTCACACTGGCATTGATCACGTCGCCGTCTTTCAAGCAGGAATGCTTCACACACCACCAGTCCTCCAGCAGCTGACCATTTTGGCCAAACAAGTTGTGCAAACCAATCTGCATCTTCTTCTGAGCAGCCAACTTCACATCGTACACGATATCATCGGGCATCATGGCGACCGAGGCGGTCTGCCCGCTGAGTAGGACGACATCCACTCGGATAGCCATGAATGCCAAAGCGCTTCAAGCTGCCTAGAGTCCTAGAGACTTCTCAAACCCGCAAGACCCTGCAGCTCTGGTCCACAAATCTTCTTTTACCATGCTAAGAGGGCTCTTGGTACTCTGCTCCAGCAGACGTTTTAGATTCTGAAGTTTCTCAGGGCTTGTGCAGCCGGCCCCTCCACGCCTGAGCCAACGTAGAGCTAGACTGCGATAAACTGCGATGGGCGATCAGATAAACATTGACTAGGGTGTTAGGATTTAGGATTGTGAGATTGGGGTTTTGGCCTTAGGACTCAGGGTATAATGTTCGACTGTCCTGTCCAAAGAGAAAGTCCCCAATACGGCCATGATCCTGCACAGACAGAGCCTTCGCATCCCCGGTGGCTTTCTCCAAGCCATAGCGCCTCGATCGTGGCTCTGTGGCGACATGCGTCCGACAGGAAAACTGCCCGGACTGAGATGCCCTACAGATTGAAACCAGAATTTGAACCCAAGAGCCCTGTCATGTCCTCGGACGTCCTAGGTTCACATCCAGGGTTCGAGCAGGCCCCTCCCTAGCCTTCTTTGATAACGTGTTATCACTGCCACTGTGGCCGAGTCGGATGGATGCTGCGCCGTCTCCCCGAGCTCCGAGCAGCTCAGCTTGTCGCAAGGCGTAGCCGAAATTCGCTGACATGGAGTAGACCTGACGATGGCTAGGGTTCAGCCCCCCATGCCCTCTGTGATGTTGTGCATGGTCCGATGGACAGGGAGAGCAGCTTCGAGCAGCGAGCGGTGTAGAGTCTAATCCAGACACATGAATGATACCATGACTATCTACGACGAATTCAGGCAAGGCTGGCTGCATTTGGGTGTTTTTGAATCAGGATATAATCACGAAAACGAACACGAACAGCAACCGCGAAAAAATAAAGTTAGGAACCTAAGTCACAATAGGGCCACCCAACACAACTTTGAAGATCTTTGAAGATGCCCTTCCTCATACCTGCACACACACCAGCCTGGCTGACCTGGAAGACTGAGAGCTGCAGCTCGTAGTCCTGCCAAGCACAGCACCCCTTCAAGGCAGACCCTTTCCTCTGGCGATGCAACCGCTTGCATCCAAATCGAAATCACAAGAGCCGAATTGCCGGAGATGACAAGATCACTATCTCGACAGAGAGAAGTATCACTTGAAGATGTAGCCGTGTGAACAGCCCTGCGGTCCCGAACAAGATGGTCCCACCTTGCAAAAGAATGCCGAGCTCTGAATTTGGGCCTAGTGTAGGGGCGCCGACAGTCGGCTTTATACGGTTTAGGATATTTTGGATGCCAGCGCCTTTAAGAGAACCCCCAGAATCACCCTAGTTTAGAACCGCCGGAACGATGCAGCCCTGCTTGAGTTCTGCCTTCGACGTGACAAGGCTCAACTTTTGCGATAGCAGCCTGCTATAAATGCTACAACGCATGTTGCATTGGCTACTGCTGCTGTAGCTGAACCATTGCTACGACGACTTATCATAAAATCGATGATCATTACCGTATTGAATTGCAGCTGCGGCTGCTCTTCCTCCACCCCATCCTACTGCAACGACGACGACTGCCACTGCTACTGCTACTATCACGGCTGCCAATACCACTACCAGTAGCACCACCACGACGACTGCGATGACTCCTCGACGACTACACGACGACTACTGTGACAACTGCTTCTTCCTCTGCTTCTACTACTTCTACTTTTTCTCCTGTTTGTTTCCCCTCTCTTCCTCTGCTCCTCCTCCTCCTGCTCCTCCTGCTCCTGCTGCTACTACAACTACTCCGCTTCTACTCGCACCACCTGCTTTGCTGCATTGCAGTGCCAGGGCTACACAAGCGAGCATCGGAGATTCATTCAAGTGCTCTTGGCCAAGCTTGGGCACCAGCGGCCCAATGATGCCAAGCACATGCTCTTGAACCAGAGGCATCGCATCCTCGGCACTTGACGACATGCAGAGGCCATGTGGACGACACATACCGACAGAACTGCGACTGCACATGCATCTGCACAGCTGGAGCTCAAAAAAGGCATGATGATCCTGCATCATGCTAAGCATAGTTTCCGAAGAGGGATAGCATAGGCGGTTCACAAAGCAGTAAGGCGACGTAAGGATACCTTGCATATCCGGCACCATTCTGGCTTCTGTCGAGATTCGGCATGATAAGCACTGCGGGTGGCACCGATGATATTGCGGTGCTGTTACAAGCCGTGAGCAGGCTGTACTAGAGCCGAACATAAAATCCACAGGTGGATCGAAAGTAGAAGCCTTAAAGCCACATTTCTACAAGCTCTTCTTTGCTTCGTCTCTGCAGCCGCGCCTTGGTGTAGAGCTGCATGGCAAGCCGCTTGAGCTGTGCCCCGGTGAGATCTTGATCACCTTGAGCCAGGACTGTGAGCAGAGGCCAGCAGAGGCCTTCCAACCTGAACTTTCTGTTGGAGACCCATGAGGAGAGTTTGGAGAGTTTCAACCGCAGCGGGGCCTCCATGCGTCGGAGTCTCCCGTCGCAGTGGGCTAAGCATTGGCACCTGGCTCCAAGTTCAACAAGCGACAGAACGCAAGGCAAGGCTGGTCAAGTGGTGCGGATGGGGAGAGCCGGCGCCTCCATCTCTTCTATCTCGCTCCGAACCTTCTTCAGAAGGTCTTCGGCTAGCTTACCTCGAGCAGAGGCTCATCAGGAACAGAAGAGCTCTGTGGGTGCGACGTTGCAAAAATCTCTGTCACCTTAGAACCCCAAAAAACGCCCCGATTCTCTGAAGCTCCTGAAATCCTCAGGGCCCCAAAGCGTCAAGCCCCCAAACATCTCCCCAGAGCCGAAACTCCAAGAAACCCGAAATCCGAGATCAGGGACCCTGAATTCTCAATCCTCCCACGGGCTAAAGCAAAGAAAAGCGCCCAGAAATCCCCAAACAAAACAAACACTCTTATGGCCACAGAACCTGGGGCCCAAACTCTGACGCTCCTCATTCCGGAGCTCCATGATGCGCTGCCGCAAGGACATGGCGTCTGGGTCCAGCTCCTACGACGAGGTTTTGCGGAGTTCGAGTTTGGGGGTTTAGGGTTTAGGAGTTTAGGGTTTAGGATGGTTTAGGGTTTAGGGTTTAGGTTCAGGGCTTTGGGGCTTTTGGGTTTAGGGCTTTAAGGCCCTTTGGGGCTTTAGGGCTCTGGGGTTGAGGCTTTAGGGAGCTCGCTCTTTGTTCGAGAGCCCTTGTTGAGGATTTCAAGGTTGCAGACATCCCTGTAACCTGCAGAGAGCTCAGTCTTCGGGATGTCACACGTTAGCTTGGATGAGGTCGTCGACAACACAAAAATCATCCTTGGTACGCATCACCCAGCGGCTCTACACAATTGCGGCTGCTCTGCTTACCTGAATCCTTTATTAATGAAACAGTGTGGAGACAAGGATGACAAGAGCACCCTGGCAACTCCACAAACCGTGAAGCCCTGCAGAGAACCCACGACACACCGAATGCCCTTAAGCATATACATATACATATATATATATACACACATATATATATATACATACATACATCTCGAAGCCTGAAAACACCCACCCAACTCGCCAGAACTGGAACTCCCCCTCGGCCCCCCCCCCACTCAGCAAACAAGACACCGAAGACTTGAGCCCTTACTCTGCAACTCTCTCCCAAGCAAAGCCCCAAAACTAAGCCCGAAGTTAAGCCCCCCGGAGAGCAAAGCATAGCCTAGGCCCAGCCTTCAAAGCCCTCAGCTCCAGGAGCAGGGCCCGATCGAACTCGGAAGCCTCCTGGCAAAGCACAAACAAAACTGAGCTTGGAAGGATTAAGGTTTCGGGTTTAGGGTCTCAAGTCGAGTGGGTCTGGCGTAAAAGGCAACAAACCGGCATGCTGCTCCCAAAAGAAGCTTGTTCTGAGGGTCCGTTGGCCTCGTGCTCGAGTTTTGGGCTGTGGAATTGGAGTTTGTGGACTTCGAATGCGCATGCTTACTGTCGGCCAATATGACCACTCTGCACGCAATCGTTTCTGCATGTTTCCACCCTCAAGATAGCATCTTCTTCCTCTAACACCTCCTGCCATCGTTTGAGAAGAAACTATGGACCCAAGACCCTGCAGCCACTGGGCCACAGGCGGCTGATGCTTCCGGTGATGCTAGCGCGGGCATGGAAACCTGACACCGGCAGCAACGAGCGAGCTGGAAGCCAACATAGAACAGTTCGGACACCTGGCACTGCCTGAGCGTTCAAACACTCAGGGCTTGCGATGCCGAAATGCGAGATTCGAGGCTTACGTTTTAAGTTGTGATGGCTCGACACCCCGGGCCCTGAACCCTCCCCCTGAACCCGCTTTTCAAGTTGGCAGCTTTTTGCTGGGGCTCAAGCGTGAGCGTGCCGCTGAACACGACCAGGTTTGGGCCTGGCTGGGGGATTTCAGCCGGATCGGCGATGGAAAACCAATTCGGAACTCGGGTTCAGATGTGTATGAATCACTGAGCCACTCTCTTTCACACTCTCTCGTTGCTAATCTGTATGAATGTCTTTACAACACATTCGTGGCCCACCCTCCAACGAAGGCGCGAAGTCTTCCAGATCCAGCGTAGATAGCCTCGGCCGGGTGCTTAAAACCGTGCAAGTCGCATAGTCCCTGCGCTGTTAGCAAGATGCAGAGCTGCTAGCTGGTAGCCCTTGCAGGTTCTGTCGAACTTACATCTAACTTGTAAGGCTAATGTCAGACACAGAGCACATGCAAAGCCTGAACCGGACCCCCGATAAATGCTGGAGCCCCGAGAACCTTCGAGACTCCGGGTCCAGCGCTAGGCGAGCTGGGCCCACGGCCAGAACACTGGCCACCTGCTCGCACAACGCAGCAAGGTGTTGGGTTTAGGGTTTAGGGTTTTAGGGTTTAGGGTTTAGGGTTTAGGGTTGGTAGTCTTGAAGTACATTTACTTGGCCGAGGTGGCGGCGAGACAGCAGGAGGAATGAGGTGAGGAGGAGGGACAGAACGGGAGCACGAG